AGCAAAATTATCATCACCATCATCCTGACTCTGATGAGATCACAGTTTTGTTTCACCTCCTAGGGAACAAGCCTTTCTTCTTCACTGATGAGGGAAGAATGGAATCATTTATAAACAGCCTTTGTTTATCAGACTTCCAGATTAATTCCCCCCTACCCCCTTGGGCACTGGGAAACTAAATAAAAAATCTACCAAGGAACAGTATCTCAGAAACTACCCATAGTGAGTTACATCAGCCAGAGAATATTATTTAGAATTGTTTGGATTTATTTCCGGCATAGAAATGTGTGTGTGTATAAAACACACACACACAGAGCAAAAGGTGAGAAAAAAGGGGCATCAGTGTTCTGAAATCTAACCAATCCTTCTAGAACAATTTTGAGGGGAACAGAATCAGGAGTGATTTGTTTAATTCAATTTGGCTTCAGTCAGTGAAAGAGGAAATACTTTATTTAGCAGGGGAAGAGGAGAAGCATTTGGTTTTGGGGGTTCTTGGTGTATTTGTTACACAGGCAATTATTTTGACAGAAAATTGCTACTAAAGCGGCTTTTTCTTCTTTTTTTTTGGACATCAGGGTAGCTCACGGTCTGTTGGGAGCTCAACAGACACAATCATGGACACAAAATACAGAACACAGAACTTGGAAGAGCTTCTACATAGACTACTGGAATCCCCTCATTTTATAGATAAGGAACTGTGGCCCCCAGAGGGAAAAGGATTTGCCTAAGATCACAAAGAAGGGTGGAATGTTAGCCCTGGCTTTGCACTTATCAGTTCAGAGCTCGTTCCCCCACCATACGGCAGCAGCAGACAGACAGCGAGCCGATTCGGCACTGCCTTGGCCAACTCTGCTCTTCTCAGGCTCCTTCTACTGGCAGGTTGCCCTGTGGTGGGGGAGGGGGTCACCAGGGTGTGAGTAGCCTCTGTCTAGCCTACAAACAAGGTGCTGTGGCCTGAAAGGCCCATCTGTTGCAGTCAATTCACCCAAACATGTTAACAAGTGAGAGACACCACACAAAGCCGCAGTTACAGCCTTGTCCCCTGCTGCCACTGATCAGCCGTTTTATCACCTGCAGCTGCAGTCATTCGGGGCAGCCTGCTGTGTGCTGCCTCCCTCAGGGCCCTGTCCACTTCCTCTGCAGGGCAGCCTGCTGTGCCAAAGATGCCAGCCCACTCACTACCCTGGGGGTGGCACCAGGCCCTGCATACTCGGGCCATTTTCAGTGGCTCCTGTGAAATCTACCATTTACCTTTCACATTAGCTCTGGAGGCTGAGGAGCTGACCTGGTGCCGAGCCTACCAGGCTTTTCCTTGGTCCCAGCTTACAAGATCTGACTCCTGACTGACCCAGACACTCAAATTTGGGAGTGACAAATGAGTCACAAATGTACAGGGGCCCTTAGTCTCACCATTGCTTGAAGAACAAAGACACCAAGCTTCACATGATTAAAAACATAACCCACCCCCAGACTTCATGAACCACTCACTCTAACTTAGACTCTCAGAATGAGTTTTCCAGCGAGGAGACCACTATGAATTTAAAGGGAAGAGCCTCCACACCGGCTGTCCTGCCTCAGTCTCCCCTCTCCAACTACACTGCTGACTGTAAGTCTCCTGAAAGCTCGGCTCTGAAGACACTCCCCGGGCTTTGCCTTCAATAACTCAGCTATGTCTACAGATTGAAGTGCTAACTTCTCGGTCAAATGCTGCTCTTCACAATCTGGTGCCAGGTGACCTGTTCAGGACGGTCCCTGAACTCAGGCCACACACAAAGTTTCTCCCAGCCATGCACGTACGTCATGACGTTTTGGCCTCCCGTTCGTGGTTCCCCCACTCCCGAGCCTCAGACATGCTGAAGCTGCACCTGCTCGCAGGGGCCTTCCCCGCACTCCAGCCTACTCATCTGGATTCTCTGTGACATACTCAGTCACAGAGGAGAGCTTATGATATCACCTAACACAGGCCCTGCCCTCAGGTACTGCTACCTGAGTGGAGGTAAGGTTACTTCCATGAAGAGTTTTTCTGCAGGGGAAATTTTAAATCTACAGGCAGCCCCTGGGTTACAAACAAGATCCGTTCCTAAGTTGGTCTTTAAGTCGAATTTGTAGGTAAGCCAGAACAGGTACATACAGCTCTTACTTACTGTCAGTTAGTCAAATGTTTGTCTTAGTATATGGTATATATTTTACGTTTCTGTGCATATAAAGGAAACCCTGGAGGCGTACTGGTTAAGAGCTATGGCTGCTAACCAAAAGGCAGGCAGTTTGAATCCACCAGGTGCTCCTTGGAAACCCTATGGGGTAGTTCTACTCCGTCCTATAGGGTTGCTATGAATCAGAATTGACTCGACGGCAACCAGTTTTGGTGTTTTTTTTGGTGCATATAAAACACTTAAGAAATGCTTCATGAGTGTGTCACAAAGTAGTGCGTGTGTTCGTTATTAGAAACCATTGTATTTAATTCAAATTTTTAATACAACAGGCTTTATAGCAGTCCGTTAAGTAGTACGAGCTGTCCATAAGTTGGATGTTCTTAACCCGGGGACTTCGTGTACTCTTTCTCATCCTTCTATTACAGTAGTTCTCAACAGGGGGCAATTTTGCCCCCAAGGAGCATTTACAATATTCTAGAACATTCTGGCTGGGATGATTGAGGGATGCCACTGGCATCTAGTGGGTAGAGGCCAGGGATGCTGCTAAACATCCTACAGAGCACAGGACAGTCCCCCAAAACAAACTATCCAGTCCAAAAAATCAATAGTGCCCACGTTGAGAAACCCTGTATTATGGTAACTAACAAGTAGCCAAACGGACTGAATTGGTTTTCCCATCTACTGGTGGTGCCAACAGTGAAAGCAAATAGTGAAACATCTAATATAAGTGCAGAAGACAGGAAGAAGATTTACTCAGGACCTGAATCAGTACAAATTGGTATTATCAAAGGGTGTCGCTTACTTCTGCTTTGGGTTCGCTCAGAAATCTACTAGTTGGCAACCTGGCAGTTCCAGCTGCTGTGGAACAGCAGGATATTCAGCAGACTGCTTGCTGCTGCTGACCTTCAGTTACAGGGCAGCTGTTGAAAGCAAGGCAGGCACCTGAAGTCTTGTGCCACTTGGCCTCCCCGCGTACGGCACGCTGAGTCAGGGAAACCAACAGGATGACTCACACAGCAAACATGTCCTGAGCGGCTCCATGCCTGGCCCTGTGCTAGCACTGGGGACTCACAGGAATGACAAAGTGGCTGTCCTCGAGAAGTTCCTAGTCTTATGGGGCATATAGCAGTAAACAAACAATTACCCATCTTCACTCTTGGCTAGACTGATGTAACTTCCATTTTCCTTTAAAAATCCTTTTGGGAAGGGAGAAAAGCAATAAAGTAGAAAATAAAGCAATGGAACTACACCGCTGATTAAAATCTATATTGCTATGGCAGCCCCTTTGAGACAGGATCAGCTCCTGGGTTTGCACCAGCTGGGCTTGTGAGGCTTGTAAATAATTAAAAGGTAATTGGAAGGGGAGACCAAAGTATTAAGTGGATTTCTCTCTCTCAGGACAACCAGGGAGTTTCATTGCTGCCAGTCACATTATCTTTCAGGATTATATTCTTGTTTTTTTCACTGACACAAGCTGCTCCAGATAACAGCTGGAGGAGTAAACTAATTAGGTCCTGCTCACACTGCTTTGATAGGCTTGGAGACTGGGGGAAACAAGATGCAAAACTTTCCACTGCCTTTTAAGCAAACCAGGAGTTATAGGCATGCCACTAAGAAGGCCAATAAGGCTTTGGAAGGTGAAGGGGCGGAGGGAGGTGGGTAGACTCACACACGCACACTGGGTGGAGGGGAGAGAGAGAGAGGAGTTACGTCAGGGTATTTAGCTGCTTGCTGGAGGCTGCCATTTAGCTCAGCCTAGGGTAAAGAGAAGGCTTTCATTTCCAGGTCTCAGGAAAGGATTGAGAAACCAAGGGATGTGTGATCAGATATAAGCAGGAGCCTGAGAAGAGCATGGTGGGAGCGGCTTCCTCTGTGGCTTTGCCCTGAGGGTGATGAAGGTAGAACTGTGCAGGTTGTCAAAGACCTTCTCCCAGAAAGGCTGAGTTTCTGGCCATGTTTCCTGAGGGGTGACCCAGCTGGTGAACCCACTGCTATGACAGGATATAAAGCCAGGAAGTTGATTCACTGGCTTCAAGGTTCAGTCACGCCATGGTCCAGAGTGGAGATGGCTATGGTAGAGGGGAGAGAGACTGTAGTAAGGATAGAAGGACAGGGAATCGGGAGACTGGGTTATAAAGCAGATGCCTACACACCCAGAGTTAAACTGCAGGAATGCTCCAGGCAAGTCAGAGTATGAAAGGGTCAAAAGGATAAGGGAAAAGAGTTGGCCTTTTCATGAATCATTTCAGACCCTCCCAACAAACCCACTGTTGTTAGTTGTCATCGAGTGAATTCCAACTCATGGCAACCCCATGTGTGCAGAGTAGAACAGCTCCACGGGTTTTCAAGGTTGTGTGATCTTTGGAAGTAGATCACCAGCCCTGTCTTTCGAGGTGCCCCTGGGTGGGTTTTAACTGCCAACCTTTTGGCTAGTAGTCGACTGCTTAACTGTTTGCACCACCTGTATCTATTCTTCCATTTACCTTACTCAGTCTCCACAATGCTGGATGCACCAACAGGAGGTCTCCACATACTAGTTTAAGTGAAGGCCAGGGCAGCTAGAAGATTACGGCTCCAGAGACCAGTTAATTGGAAGAAGAGAGACAAAAACAAGGCAGGGCCAAATTCAGATGATTATTCCATTCATTTTCTGCCAAGACCCTCTCTTCCCTCTTCAATCTTGTTGTCAATTATTTGGCTAAATCCAGGACCAACCCAGCAGCAAATACCTCTTATCCTCATAAAATGCTGGCACTCTGGGGCAAGGAAGACTAACAGTGACTTGTACACAGTAGATATTCAATAAATAGTTACTGAATCAAAATGATGAGCAGACTGCATACTCACCCCTCTTCTGCATAAAGACGAAGAGATCATCCAGGAACTCTTTCCTTTCAGGATCACCATCCAATTCATACAGCTGCAAGCCCCATCCCCCAAGAGAAAAACACAGTGAGAAATTCCATCTTGCTGCAGGAACTCTTACACCATATATACTGCAATCATCCAAATGACTAGAAATGTGACTCACAGGTCACTCCTGTCCTTATTCCTTGGAGATCAGCTACAACAACCCACTGTAAAATTGCTTCTTTCTTTAACACAAAGGAAACATTACAGACCTTGGCAAAATCTCGAGAGATCTCTCTTCCCCGGCCTCCATCAGCATCATCACTCCAGGTCAAACCACCATTCTAAAGGAGAACAAAATACAAAATTCAGACGGGAATAGCAAAAGAAAGAGCAATAGAAAGCAAGGCAAGTATTTAGGGGGAAGATAAAGACCCTTAGTAATTATGTCGTCCTGGTTCACACTGTGAAAGATCACTCAGATAACGACCTCTGCCACCCTTACTGGGGCTTTTGTTTTGTTTTCAGTTATGGTTCCAAAATAAGGGGGAGCTGGGTAGAGGAATCATTCCATTTGTTGAAGGAGGGTGGGTGTTACTTATTGATAATCCTCCTAGAGGGGGCCTAAAAGCCCAATTTTCTGAGGACTTGCTCATCCCTGGCTGATCTTCCGAAAGTCATCACTCTGAGATGTACCACTTTTCTGCAGGTTGTGAAAATACTGAGCCTGACTTCTCACACAACACTCTAAGTGAAGGATAAAAGGCCAAAGGGAGAAAGACAGAGATCCTGAAATTGTGGTCTCTCAGCCACACCTCACCATGAGAAGCCCTAAGCCTAGGGATCAGGACTCCTTAGTGATATAAAGGTCCCATGGCCTGAGAGTGTTCCCAAGGTACATAGACTCAGCAGCCCTAGGATGACAGTTCATCTTCATTAGAGAAATAACGAAAACCTAATATTAATTTAATTGATTAGGTTAAGTCAACACCATTCAAATGAATAGGATGAAATGGCAAATAGGCCTTTGTTCATGCTTTTGAAACATGCTTCCTACCTTTCTTCAATTGGTTAACTCTTATTCCTCCCTTAGGACTCAAATCAGGTATCATCTTCTATAGGAAGCCTTCTCTTCACCCATGGCTGCACGAAGTACTCTAGAAACAATCGCTTTACATTTCTCTCTGAGAATTTAACAGATTGTTTTGAAATATGACACAACCTTGCTTGCTGAAAACAAAGAAGACTTGAAGCACTTACTGACGAAGATCAAAGACTACAGTCTTTAGTATGGGCTACACTTCAATATAAAGAAAACAAAAATCCTCATAACTGGACCAATAAGCAACATCATGATAAATGCAGAAAAGATAGAAATTGTCAAGGATTTCATTTTACTTGGATCCACAATCAATGCCCATGGAAGCAGCAGTCAAGAAATCAAATGACATATTGCACTGGGCAAATCTGCTGCAAAAGTTCTCATGAAAGTGTTGAAAAGCAAAGATGTCACTTTGAGCACTAAGATGCGCCTGACTCAAGCCATGATATTTTCAATCGCCTCATATGCAAGTGAAAGCTGGACAATCAATAAGGAAGACTGAAGAAGAATTGATGCCTTTGAACTGTGGTGTTGGTGAAGAATACAGAATATACCAGGGACTTCCAGAAGAGTGAACAAATCTGTCTTGGAAGAAGTACAGCCAGAATGCTCCTTGGAAACAAGGATGGTGAAACTTTGTCTCATGTACTTTGGACATGTTATCAGGAGGGACTGGTCCCTGGAGAAGGACATCATGCCTGGTAAGGTAGAGGGTCAGCAAAAAAGAAGACCCCCTTGGGGTTGGCAACCAATGTCACAAAACAATATATATGTTAATTGTTAAATGAGAAACCAATTTGCTCTGTAAACCTTCGTCTAAAGTACAATTTAAAAAAAAAAAAAAAGTAAGACCCTTGATGAGATGGATTGACACAGTGGCTGCAAAAATAGGCTCAAACATGCAATGATTGTGAGGATGGTGCAGGACTGGGCAGTGTTTCGTTCTGCTGTACACAGGGTCATTATGAGTTGGAACCAACTCGACAGCACCTAATAACAACAGCATTTTGAAATTACTTGTCATCCCACCATATTGTAAGCTTCTTTAGAGCAGGGATAACATATTCATCTTTGTACCCCTACCTGGCATGAAATAGGCCTCAATAAATGTTTGAGGAAGTGTAATCATTGTTAAAGGCATTGATTGGTATTTAAAAGCATTCCCCAAAAATACGCAAACACATACATCATACTGGAGAGTCAAAATGCTAGTCTCATAGTATAACTCTGCTGCTCACCCAGTGGATGAGAATGGACATGGACCGTCACACCCTCTCATTTCTTCCCAGGCACACAGGGGCATGCCCATGGAAAGGTGCGTGTGTGCATGCAGGGGTGCAAGCACACTTGCTCCCATGCCACCCTGCTGGCCGGGGTATGTAAATGGTAGGGGAGGGGTAGCCGGGGATGGGAAGCAGAAGTTTCTTGGGAAGACATTTTTTGGACCACAGAGGGATCTCATTCTAAAACCAAGTCAGTAAAATGAAAGCCTGGTCTAATTCTATTCTCTCTCACCTTTCCCTTGAATAAAGCTTGTCTAAAAGCAGGGGGGTATTATTCAGTTGTGTTCTGGGGCCATGCCTTGCTTCCCCTACTCATTTCAGGGGCCTCTAAGATGTAGACCCACTTTTCTGGTAGCAGCAATTCAGCACACATTGAAGTGAGTATAACCAAGAAGTGACACTGTGTCTGTTGAAATGAAACAGGCTACACCAAATTGTTTCCCTGCTTATCTAGTAAAAGCCGTGTGCAAGGAAGTATTCAGCAAATGCTATCTGACCGTGCATGCTTGGTCTACTGAGGCAGATGGCGTTATAAACCTCCCCACAGCAACTCCAGATCAGGGAAGCCAATAATCAAGCAGGAGGAACACTGTAAAAAACAAAACAAAAACTCAGCCCACATTGTAATTACAGTCACTGGTGTCATTTGGTGGCAACTAGAACAATGAATAATCAAGATGAATTATGCCTGTCAGGTCAGCAAAACCAGGCAGACTCACATTCCCCCTTTCAAAAGGATGCAGTAGGTTGCCCTAATGCCCAGTGATTTCGTTTGAGCCAGTAATTCCTGCTGGAAAGTCAATTATCCCGGGAGCCCCATCGGCTGAAAGACATTTAATGGGGATCATTGCCGCTTCTGTTATGTCAGCTGTTTACTGTGGCAGTTCAATTCCCAACTCTCCCGTCAGAGATCTGAAGGCTGATTTTGTTCACAGGAGGATTCTTTCTCTATCAGTCACGGAAAGAGATGAAAACACAGATTTTTGCTAATTGCGGTAACGTCCAGGCACTCTGAATGCTCACTCAGAAACTATTTAACACTCAGCTGGGTTGAGAGAACAGAATCCACAACCCAGAATCTCGAGACAGGGCCTTCCACAGCAGGAGAGGAATATAAAAACAAGCATGCCAGTGTGATTACGTGTGAAAACAAACACCCCAGTGTGAGCGCTGCTCAGGGAGCAGGGACAGGGACAGGGATGCCCTGGCTGGGGGGCTGGGAACCTGTAGGGTCCCTTTGGCTTTCTCCAACTCTGCCCAAATTATAACAGGGTGGTCAGACCTTGTACAAGTTATAGGCCACTAAGTGTGAGCCGCTTAGCTTAAAAATCTGCTTAGTGATGGGATGTTGGCAAGGAATGCCTCTAGCTCAGTGAACACAGAGGACATGGAGACCTGCTAGAACAGGACAGAAACGGGAAACTGAACTCCGAGCAATCCCACTGTTTTGCTATCCCACAGACAGGAACTGTCAGTTACTACTTAAAGAAAACGTGGGGAAAATAGTTGCCCAGGATTGGGGGTGTTTTTGTTTGTCCAGTTCCAAGGCAAGGATGGTCCATTACTTAATTTAAAATATTCCATTGGGGCTGATGGAGAAATGCCCCTGTGCATTACTTCCTTTGTCCTGAGACAGTTAAACTTTGATCATGCCTCACAGGTTTTCTCGCTGAGGGGAGAGTCATTCCTGTACCTGCCCACCCTTCACGGTCCAGCTGGAATGCCATTTCCTTTGTTAAGCTCCCCTCACCTCTGCCCACCAGGCACAATCAATGCCCTTCTCCTCTGGACTCTGTTGCCTCTTGTTCTGGTTACTCGTGCCCCTGTCTATGTCCTCAGTCTGCAATCATCTTGTTGGGGTACACCTACCCCCACTACTCTACTCTCCCCCTCCCTCTTTCATCGGGAGGATTACAGGCTTAACTGGTTCTTAACTCTGAGCAACTGCTGTAAAACATGGCTCGTGTATGCAACTCAAGTTTATGTGCAGGAGGTTCCTTGGCTTATCAACAGGGTGGGGGTATGACTGCTGGAAAGTTACCAGCCTGAAATAATTTTTTCTTGGATGCTGAGTGTGGCTGACTGTGACTGTGTAGTGGTGGAAGAAGGCAGGGAGTGGCAGGAGGGAGGTGGGCCTGCAGGGGAAACACATCCAAGAAGAGACAGCTCAACATTTTAAGGATCAAGACGAGTCCATGAGAAAAGCGTATCCATGGAAGGGGCACTGCCTGCAAGTCTACCGCGTCTGGGGCACAGGCTTTGTTACCCTGTCAGCAGCAGTATTAAATAGCCCATGTGTGCGGGGACTCAACAGTAGCCAGAGTGGTCACTTATTGCCATTTACAACCTTCTCAGCCTCTCCTACTTGAGAACTCCCTTTTAACATCTTTGATCTCACCAGGAGCTCACAAGAAACTGACAGTTTGTTCCCAAATATCCACCCAAGACTAGCTTTGGCTACCATACCCACATTCAGCTCATTTTCCCTAGGGAAGCCACAGTGTTTTGCCTTTAAATCCCTTAAAAATGGTAGTGAAAGAAGGCTGGGGGAAAGAAAAGGGGGAGTAGGAAGCTAGTGTTTGTGTACCTTCTGTGCATCAAAGATTGGGCCAGGAGCTTTCCACACATTTTCTCACTTAATTGTGAGAAATGTGGAGGTGGTTCTTTTGGAGTTGGGAAAATGATGGCTTGAAAAGCTCAAGTAACTTACCCAGGGTCTCAACTCTGCCCAAAGTCTGGGCAATGCCAGGATTTAAACCCAGGTCTGTCTGGCTCTCTGTTACATCATGCTGCCTTGTGGGTTGAAAGAACAGTAGAAAGTGTTCTGGGTGGGGAGACGAGGGAGGGAGCAAAAGAAGTGAGAATAAAATTCTCTGTCCACAGAATCCTAGAATGCCCAAGCCATGGCCCTGGGTGACTCCTATCAATGAGTGATCCTTTTATTCCTTGATTTAGCTCA